CAGGAGAGAAAATATTAAGGAATATTATGATAATCAATAAAGCCAGGATAGGATGTTGACAATCTTGCAAACAAGAGAATCCTCCACAAAAAGTAAAGATACTCAGTGCTGTTAAAATCGACTGCTACTTCTCAAAGAGCACAGGAAAGTGCAAGTAGGTGAAGTTGGGAAACATGGTAACTGCTTTCCCCTATGATCTGAAGTAATGTTCAGCACTTGGAATCCTTTCATGCTTCAGATTGCCCGTTCTTCTGAGTGGATTGGGTTTGTCTCACAGATGTTAATACTGGAATATCTTTCAGCAATACCTGGGAAAAGAGCATCTGATCTTGTTGAAACTGAATCAACAGCAGGTAGAACACCTACCTTTGGAAGGCTTGGAGCAACCCTCTGATACAGGCCCCAGATAATCATTGTAGGAATTTCCTCCAAATTGTAAATTTCAAAGATAAAGCTATAAAACAAGAACACAGTTATTTAGAAGAAATAAAGTGCCCATAAAGAGAAAACATCACAGTAATTGCAGGTATCATATCAACAATGCATGATGACACAAACTCTTAGGATAACCATGTACATAATTCTAGAGGACAAATTAAGGCATCTAAAAATGCCATATCCTGTCAAGTTGTTATGTAGTGGGAATAGAAAGGTACTGTTGAGTGCTCAAACAGCAAATGCTCAGCTTTTAAAATCCAGATGGCCAATAAATGTCCACAAAATGTTTCCACCTCTAACTATTATGTACATACAAACTAAATGAAGGTCCAAGTTTGCAACGTTATGCTTCAATGATGGCGAAGATGGTACGTGGATGTGATGTGGGGAAAAGGCAATGACTAGGAGAAGGCACATTTGTTTATCACCAAAAATACCAACTACTTACACCCCTAATTTTTCTCCCATTAAAGAAAAAGCTTGTAGAAAAAAAAATTTATTCTCCTAATAAAAATAAAATGAATTATTTGACTAATGTTGTAAATCTCATCTACTTTTACCTTCTCTTGGTCATCGTTCCTGCACCTTTTCCACTCGACTGTATATTCTGATTTTTTCCCTCCATTTTATTCCCATTGTCAAGCAGAATAACTTTCTAATTCTATTTTTCCATGAACTTTTTGAGATACCTTCAAATTTATCATCTCCACAGCCTTTGGAAAACTGATTTGATGCACATATATTTTATATTAAATGTTTAGAAATGGGTTGTCTACATTTATAGTCCTTATTCCCTCATTTTCCATTCTCTTCTTTGAGGTACCTGCTTGTATTGAGTTCCATGCTGTCAAGTGCAGCAATGGCTATCTCTTTCTCAGTAATGCAACTATGTAATCACTGTTGACCTTTCTTATTTTAAAAATGATTTCATTAAAGAAGAGTTGGTGGGAGGGAAACAGGAAGGGAGAGAGAAAGAGGAAAGGAGACACGGGTCCTTTATCCAACAGTTCCTTCCCCAGATGGCCAGAATAGAAATGACTGTCTAGGAGCCTGAAAATTCAACTAGGTCTCCCAAGTGGATGACAGGAGCCTAAGCACTTAGACCATCTCCTATTGTACCTAAAGGTGAATTAGTGAGAAGATGGATCAGAAGTAGAACAACGGGCACAAACTGGTAGCCGTAGGGAATCAAGCTTCACACACTGCAGCTTAAGGTGTGCACCACAGTGCTGGCGCCTGCTTTCTCCCTCTTGAAGCACTGTTGGCCTTGGTTATAACAGCACAGTCTCCTCTTCTTGCTCCTCCTCCATCGTCTATCAGAAGTGCAGCTTTTACACTGCTCAGCTTCCAAATGATGAAGTCATCCAGGGTTACTAGTGGAATCCATTCACACTTTTTTTCTTAAATGTACAGTATGTCCTTGGGGAATGCCTAAAAATGGATAAATCATTCATGTATAATCTTAAGGAAAAGAAGCTAAACACAGAAATTGCTTGCTATTTTTTCTCTTTTGTCTAAATAGGAAGAATCCATCTATGTTGCTTAGAAGTCAAGGGAACAGTTAGCCTTGATTGGGAGTAGTTAGCACAAGAGAGCATAAAAGGGCTTTGGCAGTAACGGTCATGTTACCTTTCCTTATCTGTGTTCAGTTTTTGAATAATTCATTAAGCTATACACTTGTGTACTTCAACATCAATACAAATGTCACATATATAAATTGATATACATATATATATATAAAATACCCTGTTGTAACTTGAAACTTAAAATCTGTCACTGATTTGCCATCAGATTCAGAATAAGATCATCATTTTTTGCTATGGTCTCTCAGACCATATAATCTGATCTATTCCTACTTCCAGATCACTGTCTGAACACCTTGGCCTGCTCTAGGCATAAGTTAATGTTGATCTTCAACTACCAGGCTCTTTCCAGTATGAAAACGTTAAATGGTGAAATCTTTCACTGGACATTTCTTTCATTGGCCTCTTTAAACCATCTATTTCCAGATTAATTGTCTGTTCTTCAGAGCCACTAATCTAAAATTATTCCCCAATCACCCGTTATCATGCCATCTTACTGCCTTTGTATTTTACACCCTGTGTTCACTTGTTTGCAATCATTTCTGACAATTAAGTGTAACTCAGTAAGGACAACCAACTTGGTATCTTAAAAAAAGCAAGATTTATTTTTATTGGAAAAACGGATTTACAGAGAGAAGGATAGATAGAAAGTTCTTTCATCTCCAGCATCACTCCCCAAGTAGTCAGAATGGCTGGAGCTAAACCTGTCTGAAACCAGGTTACAGGTGTTTCTTTCTGGTCTCCCACACAGGCACATGGTCCCAAGTCTTTGAGTCATCCTCCACTGCTTTCCCAGGCCACAAGCAGGTAACAATATGGGAAGTATAGCAGTTAGGACACAAACAAGCACCCATAAGGGATGGAAAGTTTGGAGGTGGAGGATTAGCCAATTGAGCCTTTTTGCCAGACCCAGAATTTGAAATTGTATTCACAGTATTACTCTAGAACCAGAGACATTCCTGGTAAATATTTTATAATCAGTGCCATGATCATTGCAATGGCTACATTTAGCAAAATGTTTATACATACACAGAGACTCAACATTTAGAATTGTAGGAATTTGCAAAACAATCTGAAAATATCTATAATGATTTTTATATACTAATATTAATCATAGTACTGTTCATAAAAATGGAAATGCAAAGCTGGTATTGTGGCATACTAGGTAAAGCCTCTGCTTAGGACATGCATTTCATGTGAGTATTGATTCAAAACCCAACTGCTTTACTTCTGACTCTGCCTGAAAAAAACAGTGGAAGATGGCCCAAGTGCTTGGGCGCTTGCACCTACATGGGGGACCAGAAGATGTCCCTGACTCCTGGATTTGGAGTGACTTAGCTCAGGCCTGGAAGGTGCTCCCACTTTCTGGATGGGTAGAGCTCTTTCAAATAACCTTTTTAAAAGGAAATTGCAGAATAATACATATTTGTAAGAAGTTATTTTAGTATATAATGGAATTGGCTGTGCAGATTATTCTACAGCATTTAAAATGAATGCTGTAAAATAACCATTGTACAATATTTTGGTGAAAAGGGATAATTCAACATGCTGCTTGAGACTCCTACTCTGTATTCTCATTGTCACTAGATTTTTCTACAATGATTTCTCTCCATCTATTGAACAATCTATGTATAAGAATCTATGAATGATTTTCATTCCTGTATTTTCATGTTGAGCATGTAACATTTTATGACATTAAAGGGTAGACATCTCATATTACCAAAAAGAAAAAAAAATTCTTAGGAAATTGAAAGTGAACATTCCAAATAAAGGCCATGATAATTTGAAAAAAAAAATTTAAAAAACAAACATCCAGATCAAACAAAAACCCCACCAATTGCCAGCTGTCACTCTCAATCATTTTCATTGGAATTTGTTTCCTCTAATTATTGACAAAAGGGTCATGCTCATTGTAAAAAGTAGGTTCAATCTTTGTGCCAAAGACTTTGTAATTCTCTAGGCCTTCATTAAAAGCACCCTTTGTAGCAATTACTTTACCTTTCAACAGAGTTAAAGTAGGGATGACTTTTTTTTTTCTCATATTAAAAGAATTGGTAAAATTCTACACTATTCCTTAAAATTTATAAAGTAAAAATTACTTTTAAATGATGATGCCAGACATAAGTTGTGAGGGCATCTTGATAATTGCTTTCCTTACAGAGAAACCTTTAATCATTAAAATATCAAGTTTGGGGTGTTACATGATGGCTTAATTGCCTTATCCCCTCTTTCCATTCAAGTACTAGGATCCCATTTTGGTGCCAGCTCATGTCCAGGCTGCTCCACTTTCCATCCAACTCCCTGCTTATGACACCAGCAGTAAAGGATGGCCCAAAGCCCTGCACCTGTCTGGGAGAAGAAGCTCCTGGCTTCAGGTTGCATCTGCTCCAGTCATTGCAGCCTGGAGTGAACCAGTGGGTGGAAGAACTTGTTTCCTTCTCTCTGCAAATCTTCCTTTTCAATAAAAACAAGTAAATCTTAAAAAAAAATGAATTTGAACCCTGGCTTTTGTAAGACCTTGGCAAAATCACACAAATAAACTGTTATAGTTTCCAGTTCTCTTTGCATTTTCACCGTGTAGATTGTGTGATACAGCACATGTGATGGCCTGGCATAGTGCCCATTTTCTTCGGTATTTTCTTGTAACTGCATTAACCAGGGGCTATATTGTTTTCTTCTTTTTGTATAATAGTTCTTCATTGCCATTCTCATTTTTTATTGCCTGAAACACTTTTAAGGGAGACAGTCTATGCATTTTCTCTATTATTTGTTTGCTTGGCATTTAAGCATTTTTAGACTTTTATTATCTGAAAGGCAGGCCATGATGTCCAATCCACTGGTTTACTTCCAAAAGGCTTGCAGCAGCTGCAATTAGACCAGGCCAAAGGCAGGAGGCAGAGAGTTGGTCAGGGCTCCCAGGAGATGCTGGGGTGCCAGCAGACTTGGGCAGAAGCTATGACAAGGCCTGGGAGCTATCACCTAAACCCAGCTCCTCTCTGAGCTGAATGCAGGTGCCCCGAGCAGACCTGGCTGGCCGACTTCTGACCCATTTCCTGCTGACATTCACTCTGGGAGGAAAAGATGCTGGTACCAGTACTTGGTCACCTCTCCTTTATGTGGGAGACCAGGTTTCTGATTTCTGCCTGGTTCATACCCAGCACAAGCATTTGAGGAGTATACCTGCAGATATAAGATCTCACTGTGTCTCTTATTTTCTTTCTCTTCATGTTATTCTCCCTTTCAAGTAAATGCAAATTAAATTGTCATTACTAATAAAATGCAACTTGTATAGAAAAAAATTTGAGTAATACATGTACAATGCAGAACATTTTGGAAAAACAGATTTTTCTCTGAATTTGTTTAAAAACACTATATTAGCAACTACAACTAAAGGCAAGTTTAATAAGGGTGGTTAACTAAAATAATGAGAAAGTAAAAGCATGTCCTAGCATTTCCTGTGGAGTGCTGACAGTTCACACCATAACACATTGTTGATTAATCTAAGAAAAACTTCTTCCAGTTATCTATTTTGTACTTATTTCATATTTTCAATGTTTATCTCCAGCTGGTACTAAACCAAGGTGTAATTTTTCTAGAGAACTGATAAGGACCCTGAATTGTTTAATGCGTGTGGATCTAATTGCACTTGACTAGCCAGTTCCCAGGACCAGTGCCTGGAGCAACATCAAACTATTAGTGCAATTTAAAATGGAAGTCCTTGTTGTCCTGTGGTAAAACATTGAAGCACATTGCACACTCACCCACCTAAAAATAATGTGGCTCAGGTGATAGTTTCTCAAGTTTGTCCATGAAAATGAGGCAGAGCGGATTCCCAGACTGCCTAGAAACAAGATGGATTGGCACCATCATTTTTCCTTGTCTTCCTGGCCTGTAACGCTATCACAGGACACGATTTAATGGGTCTGGCATGATTTGCTCTTCAGAAAACCATGCTGGTATCTCATAGTACCTGTACTTTTTCCAGGTGATTAAAATGTGATTGATCGCTTCCTGGATCTTTCAGATAACCAAGTTACCAAGTCTGAGTATTTAACCTCTTCGCAAGCACATCAATAGTCTGCTGTTTTCAAAATGTTTTCTTCTTAGAAAAAATACCTGTGAATATTTCAAGACTTCCTGATTTCTAGGCAACCAACAGAGGATCCTATCCTTATGATTTTTGCATGGATAACGTCGTTTATCTACATGGCCAGCATTCTCCGCTTGTGCTCATGTTCTTGCCGCAGCCAGCTCAACTGGATCAGCACTTCACAAATCCTTTCTCTGATAAGGCAATGCTGAAGAAGTCATTTCACTTCAGCCTGTTTGTTGCTCACTGTATAAACCCTCCATCCAATAAGTCACCATAATTAAACAAATATTGATGGAGCACAAACTATTTTCCTTCCCTGTCTTGCAGTAGAACTGTTTATGTTCTAATCCTCTTCTTTAATTGACTTGAAGATTTATTTTCATATTTATAGTTCACTGTTGATAATAACTCCTATCTTTGTAATGTGTCTCTGTGAATTTGTGCCTATTTTTCTGCATTTGTCTTCATTAATCAAATTAATTTAAATGTGAAACATTTTCCCTTTAAATCTGTATAGATTTCTGAGTTTAGTCAGTTTTATCTCTGTCCTTCTAAAACATGGCCCATTATGTCTAGTTTGTTTGTTTGCTTCTTGTACCATGACCTAGCTAGTGCATACTTCCCTTGTCTCAATTCTCACTACTTCACTTTAGAGCGTCTTCTCTTATAAAAAGATAGAAATACTGGACTGTTCCTATATGTAAGTAGCCTTTTGATTTTTAGTTCTCTACCTTTTAACAGATTTTCACCCATTCATGCTTTCCTCTAGTAAGATTCCTGGTATGTGGTCTCAAATCTCCAGCAAACCAACACATACCATCCCCATGTAGTCCTCCATACATGCGTACCACTTCACACGTCTTAGATTTTTTATAAGAATCACATCAGCAGGTTCCATAATTTGGATATCAGCAAAAAAAATCAATTTTATTTGGTCATAGATGTAAACATTTATGCATATTTAGGATTTCACTTTAAGCAAATAAAAACCACTTTTGAATAATGTGACGGAGCTGTTTGTGCATCCTAGCCTCCTCTACTGCATCTCTAACCTAATCCATGCTGAAATTTCACATTCCTTTACCATTTATAGAGTATCTTTTAGGAGGTAAACTATTGGTTGAATAAAGATAGATGACATCAAAAAGTGTTTTCAAACCCTTTTCAAAATATAGTAAATGAAAAAACTGAATTGTAGTACATTAAGTTAAGCTACCTTCTGAAATGTCAATATCCAATATTAGAGCACTGGTTTGAGTCTGAGCTGTTCTACTTCTGATCCATCTAGCAGCTAATATGCTTGGGAAGGCGATGATGACACTTGGGACCATACCACTCTTGTGGGAGACCCCTCCGGCGCTCCAGAATCTTGACTTTGCCCAGGACCAGCCCAAGCTACTTATGGACTGAACCAGCAGATGGAAGATTCTCAGTCTTCTAACCCCAACTCATTACTCTGCCTTTAAAATAAATAAATACATCCTTTAAAATAAGTGAAATACAGAATGCAAGTGTTCAATACCCTCACTTACTAATATCAGAATGAATAAGAATATTTAGGTTTATTAGCAAACAAGTGAAATTTAAAAATTATTCAGAAAACCAACATTTGACAGTATAGTTATTTTCCACTATTTTTATCGGGGGTCCTCCCGTCCTGTGGAAGAAATCACCCAACATTCGAGAGAGTCTCCAAGGTGCTTTTATTTCGATCTTCCATTAAAAAACTGTTATGTCCATTGTTTCCGTTATGACACCCCTCCCCCGCCAAACCCCCCCCCCTTATCTGTCAAACCTGTCCAATCAGCTTAAAGATAACCAAGGCAGACCAATCAGGGCAAAGGGCCAATCACAGGGCAGGAAATTGTCAGTGTCCCCAACAATTTTTATCAGAAAGGCAGATTTACAGAGTGAAGAGACAGATCTTCCATGTGTTGGTTCATTCCCTAAATGACTACAATAACCAAAGCTGAGCCAATCCAAAGCCAGAAGCCAGGAGCATCTTCTGGGTCTCCCTTATATGTGCGGGACCAGAAGGTTCTGGACCACTCTCTTGTGCTTTCCCCAGCCATATGGGATCCCAGAACTTGCAACATAAGGGTTTGGCAACTGGGCCATCATATCAGGCCCCGGAAATGTGGTTTATAACACAATAGGTTGTAATACTTGGTTATGGATTTAGTGGTATAAACCAAATTTGAGGAGGAATTCTATTTCATGAAACTTCCTGTACTTGTGTATCATACTTTTTTTTAGTAGAGATTTCAAATGAACACACTTTCCATGCCAGGAATGTGTAAAATCAACTTTAATATAACAATATGTTAAGTGGTAGATTCATGTACCTGATGATAATGAGAAAGGTACAACTGAGTTCAGATTTTGAAGTAAACAGAAATGTTTCTGGAAATTTAAAAACTCAATTGCAATCTTTAATATATAAGTGAGCATAAAATTGTGTTTGATAAACTGGACTTCTGCTAAGGAGTAAACATTTGAAGGCAGGACAAAGTTCTTATATTAGAGATTATGTAGCACCATTTACAATGCAGTTCCCCAAAAGAATAATTTATGGCAAGTACTTTTTAAAAAATAAATCAAACTTCACAAAAGCCTGAATTTATTAAAGATAATAAATATGTTTGCATTAAATTTCACTTATCAACCAGATACTCATTAGCTGTCTCCTCTCAACAGTGATAAAATGACCTGTGTTGATAAATAATAATAAGGTACCATATAATGCACCTTAGACTTCTATACCGAAACTCAATGGAGGATGTGACAGGAGAGGAACACATTTTGGAGTGTGAATAAGTTTAACCAAAGGTTATGTTTGAATCATTGAAGAGCTACAAATGAATATTCCCCAAAAAGCAGTGTAGGTTACATCCCTGAGTGCTGCAGACAGATCAAAGCTAGATAATGGTGGCTGAGTCCAAATGTTGCAGTAAAGAAGGCAAACCAGAAAAAAATAGCCTATATGCTGCAACTAGTAATTTTGGGGTTTATCTCCAAGCAGTTAAAAGCCAATAAAAAAGAGAAGGTGAAGACTTATTGAATTACTTGAAAGGGCTGGGCCAGGCCGAAGCCAGGCGCCTAAAGCTTCTTCCTGGTCTCCCACATGGATGCAAAGGTTTGAGCAATTGTACCATTCTCTGCTTTCCCATGCTCATTAGCAGGGAGAAACAAACTAATTGATATGATTAGAAAGGCCAACAAAATTTGGATGTCAAGCAGAAAGCCTACTTAAAAATAAGATATTTTAGGTTAAAAATGACATGTTGAAGATAGAACTTTCCATCTGGGAGTTTCAAGTGCATTTGTTTGATTTTACTTTTCACTTATCCTTGTTTGGATTATAAAGATAATATGTTTATGAGACAATTCTAGCAGGTCATTTACTAAATGCTGTACATGTACGATCATACTTTATATTCAGAAACTGATACAGGAATTGATATTTTACCTTTATACAAATGAGAAAAAGAAGATTAAAATATTTCACTGATAGTGTGCATCTGTGTTAGATACTTGAATTAATAAACTATAAGCAAACCATCAATTCCTGTTTCACTAAGCCTCCGACATCTTTAACATCCATATTGAAAGCTTGTATCATCCTTGGGTACAGCCATGACAACAACGGACTTATTCCTAGGAAATAAAGGTTGGTGTTGTTTTTCCTGTGTAATTGCTACACAGCTGGATCTTGCTCAGTTTGCTTCTGAAGATGCTAACTTAGCAACCCAAGAATCACTCAGGAAGTTTATTATTTCTCTCCCTAGCATTTCAACTAGCCAGCATATCTTTTGAGCTTCTTCTCTTTTGTCATCAAGAATTTAGTTCACACTTGAGGATTCTCTGGCTTCTTTACTTGGTAAACTGTTTTCAAGGTTTATTTATGTTGCGTTATTGATCAAGGCTGAATTCCTGTTCACTGTCAAGTAATTCTCAATAATATGGCTTTGTCACATTTTGTTTAC